TTATGTTTCACTATTAGGACACGACCTTGTTAAACCAATTGAGTTGGGTTTTCACTTGTTTTCTTCCTTTTTTGTTTACGTGTTTTCATGTTTTTCACCAGTTTTCTTAGGTTCTTTTATCTGTTTTTATAGTTTTTTGTTATTTTCTATGTTTTTATTTGTTTCTTTTTCTTTTTCAGTAACTTTTTTCTTTTCTTCCTTTCCATTGGGTTTGTTAGTTTTTTTGTCGTTTTTTATTGGTTTTCCTTTTCTTTCTCTCGGGTTTTCATTGTTTTCCTGCACACATTTTCGTTATATATTTAATACATGTTTAATATTTTTTCAAGTACAAGATTAACATTGAATAGATGATCAACATTTTCTCAGTACACATTTAACATATTCCAAATGCTTGATTAAAAAAATTCAAATACAAGATTAACAGTTTTTAAAACACCATCAACATTTTTCCAATACACACTTTTTCTAATGCTCGATTAACATTTTTCAAAAATTTGATTAACATTGTTTTAATACATGATCATCATTTTTTACATCCATATGCTACATTGTTTTTTCAAATCCTTGATTATATTTTCAAATACAAGTTTGACAATTTATCAATAGGTGGTACAACATTTTGTCTATACACATTTAACATTTTTTTAAATTTTTTATTAACATTTTTTTGAAAAACAAGTTTAACATTTTTGGAATACATGGTCAACATTTTTATACACATTCAACATTTTTCAAATGGTTGATTAACACTTTTCAAATACTAGTTTAACATTTTTCTTTGAATACATGGTCAACATTTTCATATTTAACATTTTTTTAAATGCTTTATTAACATTTCTAAATTATTGATTAACATTTTCAAATTTTTTTAAATTCTTGGATGAACATTTTTTAAATACATGATCAGATGCCGCAAACAATGAGGAAGGAAATGCTGTCAAGAAAAGAGAGAGGAGGGGAACACTCCAGCTGGGCTACAGGCCTACAGCCACTCGGTCCACTCCACTAGCAGGAAGCACGCGACACTCGGCCGCTTATCTCTACTATTAAAGGAGAATCAGACGTCGTGATGGTTCAACCTGCGCTTCCCACCCGCATCAAGCGCTTCTTCCGCGCAGTAAAAACAAAAGAACAAAACAACCGCGACCATCTGATCTTCCCTCTCGACTCGCCATGACCATCACCCACGAGGCCACGATCTCCCCTTCCCTCTCCCAAACCACCCGACGCAAGGCAAGGGCATCTGGAGCACTTGCGTGTTGCGTCGTCCGCCCCTCCCTCCGTTCACCCTTCAATCCTCCTGTCTGCCGCGCCCCCACATGGTCCTCATCGCCACCGCTGACCCCTCCCCCTCCCTTGTCCCCGGCTCCCCGCCTCCATTGACGGCCCCCATCGTGAAGACGTCTGCGCGCACCCGCCTGCAAGGCTTCTTCTTCCCGACTTCAGCTATGCGCGTACCGCCTCCTACTTTGCTCCAAGCTTGGCGCCCTGTGTCTGTTTCAGCACACGTACACCTGTAGCCGGAGATGGGAGAAGCCCCAGGACTTGCTCGACCGTGGCGGCCGCAGATATAGGCCCGCGTCGTCGCCACCGCTTATCTCTACTATTAAAGGAGAATCAGACGTCGTGATGGTTCAACCTGCGCTTCCCACCCGCATCAAGCGCTTCTTCCGCGCAGTAAAAACAAAAGAACAAAACAACCGCGACCATCTGATCTTCCCTCTCGACTCGCCATGACCATCACCCACGAGGCCACGATCTCCCCTTCCCTCTCCCAAACCACCCGACGCAAGGCAAGGGCATCTGGAGCACTTGCGTGTTGCGTCGTCCGCCCCTCCCTCCGTTCACCCTTCAATCCTCCTGTCTGCCGCGCCCCCACATGGTCCTCATCGCCACCGCTGACCCCTCCCCCTCCCTTGTCCCCGGCTCCCCGCCTCCATTGACGGCCCCCATCGTGAAGACGTCTGCGCGCACCCGCCTGCAAGGCTTCTTCTTCCCGACTTCAGCTATGCGCGTACCGCCTCCTACTTTGCTCCAAGCTTGGCGCCCTGTGTCTGTTTCAGCACACGTACACCTGTAGCCGGAGATGGGAGAAGCCCCAGGACTTGCTCGACCGTGGCGGCCGCAGATATAGGCCCGCGCCGTCGCCACCGGGTTGAGATTGGATGGCGTTGGGGAGAAGACCAGGAGACATACAAGATTGATACGAGGTAAGATGTCGTTTAGTTTTTCATACAGCGATTTTTTTGGTCGAGACTATGACTATAACTGCTTCTTTTGGGATGCTTGGAAAATCCGAAGATGTGTAGGATGACCATGCTGCAGAGGACGATGAGAGGAGAAGTTGAAGAAGGAACGGTTGTGCTATTCTTCTTAGCAACGTGAGCTCTTGCCCTTTTGATTCGTAGAATGCTGAACTGACCACATCTCGCTGGATTTGTACAATGTTGAACTGACCACATGATACATCGCTGCTTTAATTCATAGATTGTTGACTTTCCAACACACGTTTTCGCCATGATGGTTCATAGGTTGCTGAATTCTGTAACCCATATACCTGTATTAAATTGTACAGCAAAAGTGAAATGTGGGCAATTCCAAATTTTATTCAGGTTCCAAAGGCACTTAAGACACTATAAGCCTACCAATATTGGGAGTGTCTATGGCCTATTCGGGTTGGAGCCCAAGCCCGCCATGCCGAAAAATTGGCGTTGACCAGATATGTGGGCGTATTCTTGGATCAAGGCTAATTACTTGGTGTGCTGATGCTAGCCCAACTTTCCTGTGCAATTTCATGTCAATTGCTGGCGAGACGAGGGAGGGTGAAGTGGTCACTGATTTTTTGACACACCCGCGACTTGGCATGGCCAGCTCCGGCATAATCCAAATGGGATCTATATGTTTGTGTGCTTTTAAGCTGCACACTGTTTGCACCAAATAAAATCCCGGAGAGAATCTGTTTATTTGTGTGCAAAAATTGAACCTATCAATGTAATGTTGTGAAATTGACTGCTGCTTTCTGTAAAAGAATGTAACCGCCTCAAGCAAACTGTTGTTTCACGCGCGCGGCTGACCACAGATATGGCGATGGAGAATCCACTGGTAATGCATAAGCGGCTGCAAATGGTGCACTGCGGTTTGTGGAATTCCAGGGGTATCACTGTCGCTACAATTTCTTTTAGGATTTCCTTTGTTTTTGCACTCAAGCTGGGAAAGGAAAAGGAGGTTTAGCTTAAGGATTATAAATATGAGGGGTTTGTCCCAATACAAGCATTTTGATAAGGTTTTCTTTATTGAAGATGAGATGTTGCTAATTTGCAGGGGTGTAAAGTATGGTAGCGGGGCACTTGAGCATGAACCCTATTGTTGTAGAGTAGGAACCGGGTCTACCTCCAAAGAATAGAACCATTGCAGCCGCATCCTACTTTGCATTGTTAGCTAATTCCACCTCTTTATCCTTCCTGAGTGGGTTATCGGATTGGGAACTGCGAGTGCTTTTTTTGGTGTCATATACCAAATCTTATTTTGAGTTCGTCAGTTCAGTCCAATTTTGCATAACAGAAACAGGTAAAGTACATAGACATATTGCATTTGATTGACTTTGTATGATGTTTCCAGGAACCACGCTGCACTTTATGTAGTTATTTGAACAGAAGCAACAACCACACTGAAGAAACATGAGTTTATCTTTCAAAAGAGGTCTCCGTAATTTTAGAGGGTTGTGGTATATGAACCATTGCTGCATAAGGGGAAGAGTCGGTAAGGATCTGCAGTTGTTTAATTGTATAATTTTATTGATGTACGTACTTATTTTGGTTTGCAAGATTCAATATTGTTTACCCTTTTGCTCCCTAGAACTGTTTACTAATTATGATTTGTTTCAGTTTCATGCAGACATGTATAGTGGATTGATATGGGTTCCTGACAAGCTACCTATATAGTTTATTGTTTCTGATTCAGAGAGTCTATTTCCTATGGACCTATAGACCTATGAAACCTAAATGTTAAATCACAAAGCTCAATCTTGGTAAAAAAAAAGCGGCATGGCTGCAAGAAAATGACATGTATCTTGTTCACTTTTGTTGTAATTTGTGTGCTAAGTTGGTTAGAGTTTTCCTATCTTGTAGTTTATGATAGAACTTTGCATGTTGTAGCCAAGATTTTCATGATGTTTCTCAAATTTGTTGTCTATATTTCTGCCTAATATAAGCACTCTATTTTCCCTGTACATCCAACTCTGCCATTTTTAATGTAGTTCTTTCCTACATTCTCAGCTTATGGAACATGGGAAGAGGGAGTTTCTAGGATATGTCATTGGGACGGTGACGACATCACGGTCATGGAAAGGAGGCTCGGGGATTGTGTAGAACTAGCAGATGGAGATGGAGGAGTGAGGTGTGGAAGGCACAACAAGATTGGCGGTGTTGGATCATAGAAGAGGCGCTGGCAAGTGTAGGAGCGCCATGTGTTGGTTGGGTTGATAGTAGGATTAATAGATAGGGGAGATGTGTTAGTCACTGGAATAAACAGTCCCACCGACTATTGCTTTGTTTTTACTACTTACCGGATATATATATAAGAGGCAGAGTAAGAATATTATGTTGCTTGGACTCCATCTGTTTCTAAGTGTAACCCCATTTTAATACGGACTACATACGGATGTATATCAAAATATTTTGGAGTGTAGATTCAATCATTTTGCTCTGTATGTAGTCAATATTGGAATCTCTAAAAGTTTCTATATTTTGCAAAAAAAAAGGTTTTATATTTAGGAATGGAAGAAGTATTGTTGTATTTGAAGAGTTTGATTGCTAATAATTTTGGGGGAGAATTGCAATATGTCAACCTTTTTAGCTGTAGTTTGAGTTAGATAAACCTAATATAACATGGCAATACAAAGAAAGAAACTCAAGCGCCATCATGTGATTACCGAGGAAGCAAGTGTAAGTGTGTAACCCAATATTTGCACCTAATACAATCGCAAGCCACATGCTACGCTCATGTTGTTGAAACGCAATGATATTTTGATCAAAGTTCTTGTATATAAGGTTGTTATTCCGTCGCAACGCACAGGCCTTCAGCTAGTTGACAGAAACCACACGCCTACACCGAACCGCTCCAACACGCGAGCCATGCGCCCATGCCGGACGCCTCTCCTCGACTCCACCTCGCGGCTGTCCGTGCTCCTCCTCGACCACCTCCACCGTAATCGCCCCTCCTCTCAGCCCTCACCCTCGCCGCCGTCAGCCTTCTGGTCTCCCATCGCCGCATTCGCCGCTGCCACGAAGCGCGCCCGAGCCGGGACGCTCAGCCCTGAGGACGCACACCACCTGTTCGACGAATTGCTACGCCAGTCCATCCCGGTCCCCAACCGCTTCCTGAACAGCTTCCTTGCCGCCCTCGCCCGTGCCCCAGCCTCCGACGCCTGCGGAGATGGCCCCGCCCTCACCGTCGCCCTCTTCAACCGCCTGTGCCGAGAAGAAGCCGGCCCTTGTGTAGCGCCGCCCACTATCTATACCAACAACATTCTAATGGACAGCTGCTGCCGCGTGGGTCGCCCGGACCTTGGGCTTGCTGTCTTCGGCCGCCTACTCAAGTCAGGCCTCAAGGCAGATCAGATCACTGCCAGTAGCCTCCTCATGTGCCTCTGCGATGTAGGACGGACAAACGAGGCTGTGGACGTTCTGCTTCATAGGATCTCCGAGCTCGGCTGTGAGCCTAATGTCATCCCATACAACATAGTTCTTAAGAGCTTATGTGACAGTAGAAGGAGCCAGCAAGCTCTTGACCTGCTCCAGATGATGGCACAAAGAGGTTGCTGCTCCCCTAATGTGGTGTCATATAACACCGTCATTCATGGCTTATTTAAGGAAGGTGAAGTAAGCATGGCATGCTCATTATTCTATGAAATGATGCGGCAAAGGGTTATGCCTAATGTGGTAACATATAGATCGATGATTGGTGCGTTGTGCAAGGTCGGGGCAACGGACAAGGCAAAGCTGGTCCTTGGTCATATGGTTGGTAATGGTTTTCGACCAGATATGTATACTTGGAACTCATTCATGGCATCTCTTTGCAAGCAGGGAAGAAGCAAGGAAGCTGCACAACTTTTTGATTACATGGTCACCAAGGGCCACAAACCTGATGTTGTCATGTACTCTACTCTGCTTCATGGGTATGCTACTGAAGGATGCTTCACTGATATGATTAATCGCTTTAATTCAATGGAAGGCAACGGTATTGTAGCTAACAGCCGTGTTTTTAACATACTAATCGATGCATATGCTAAACGTGGAATGATGCATGAAGCTATGCTCATATTTACTGAAATGCGGGAACGAAGAGTGAGTCCTGATATATTCACCTATGGAATTATAATAGCTGCACTTTGCAGAATGGGTAGGCTATCTGATGCTATGGAGAAAATAAATGAAATGGTTGCTACAGGATTACAACCGAACGAGGCTGTTTACTATTCCCTAATTCAGGGTTTTTGTACACATGATGATTTGGTCAAAGCTAAGGAGTTGGTTTCTGAGATGATGACCAAAGGTATTCCTCGTCCTAACATTGTGTTCTTCAATTCGGTAATAGCCAGTCTGTGCAAAGAAGGAAGGGTTAAGGATGCACACGGTATCTTTGACTTGGCTATGAACATTGGTGAGAGGCCCGATTTAATTCACTGATTCACGGCTATAGCTTGGTTGGTGAGGTGGCGAAAGCATTTGGGCTACTTGATGACATGGAATCAGTTGGCATTGAGCCCGATGTTGTTACTTATACTACACTTCGTCATGGCTATTCTAGAAATAGAAGGTGACTGTTCAGAGAATTGATGCGTGTCAGAATTTAACCTACAACTGTCACATATGGCATCATACTGCATGGGTTGTTTCATGCTGGAAGAACTGCTTCTGCGAAGAAAATGTTCCATGAGATGATCAGAACTGGAACCATGGTGAGTATTTCCATATATGCTATAATCCTTGGAGGACTTTGTGGAAAAAATTGCGCTGATGAAGCAATTGTCCTGTTTGGAAAATTAGGTGCAATGAATGTGAAGTTCGATATTGCAATATTCAATACCATGATTAATTCAATGCACATGGTTAGGAGAAGAAAGAAGCTAACAATCTGGTTGCTGCAATATCAGCCAATGGCTTGGTACCTAATGCTTCTACTTATGGAGTTATAATAAGACATGTTCTAAAAGAAGGATTAGTGGATGAAGCTGACAATATGTTTTCATCAATGGACAATACTAGTAGTTGTGCTCCTAGCTCTCATTTGTTAAATGATATCTCATTATTTTATCAGAAAAAGGTGAGATAACCAAGGCTGGAAAATATGTCTAAAGATGATGGGAAGATTATCTCACTTGAAGCTTCAACTACTTTGCTGCTGCTGTATGTCTTTTCAAGAGAAGGCGAATATCAGGAGCAAATAAAATTGCTTCCTGTAAAGTACTATCATATTTTTGGTAGAGTCAGCTACAGTTAATGCATTGTATATGAGCATAACTACTCAGAAGGTACAATTGAATTGTCGCTTGCCATCAGGCCCTTTTGCTGGGATAGGAAATGTGAATTTCTTGCTTGTAGAAAATCGGCCCGTCATTCCTTGGTTGATTTTAATTTTGTGTTGTTGTTACGTATGAATAGAGTTGCACAGTCATCGACGTTTGTTAACTTCTTATTCAACTGCAAACCATAAACACTATTATTCTTTCTTGAACTTTTTGTTTCCTTTGCAAATTAGGCACCACACTACAAGATATACAAATAATCAACCTGTGCAATATTGATGATCAAAAGATTTACTAAATGACTTTGCTAGGGTAAATGTAATGCAATTATCATTCCAATGCCATTTATATTGTGCACTTTATATGCTGCTTAACCAGTGAGTGTTTATTCTTTATTGTATAGTATTTTTTGTTTACTATGAATGCAAAAAATACTCATTACTGTTGTTTTCATGTGTTAGGATGAGCAGAAAAGATTTTCATCATATTTGCTCTCTGACTGGATGCATCTGAAAGGAAATAGTGGACGTAGGCCTGCACAGTTCCTTCCGATGTTTGAATACTCCTTCAACTAATGTACGTACCGTAGTTATTTCCATCTGCCCTATAGTATCTTTTATCTGAGTAGCACCATCATGAAAGGGTGTGATGCTCCAAGCCGTCATCTGAATTGTAGGTATATCACTTCCTGAATAGATGATGCGCCCTGATAAAAGATCTTATGTTCCTTGCTCATAAATTTGTGACCTATGGTTTGGGAGGAATGGAGGTCCACACTGATGCTGCCTCAGTTTGTTCTGCTTTGTACTCCCTCCGTTCCTAAATATAAGCATTTTTAAAGATTTCAATACGAACTACATACGGGTGTATATAGACATATTTTAAAGTCTAGATTCACACATTTTGCTCCGTATGTGGTCTATATTGGAATCTCTAAAAATACTTATATTTAGGAGCGAGGGAGTACAATACTTGCAATTGAAACATTGAACATTGTAGAAACATGTTAACATGTTATGAAGACTTGACCTGTGCAGACCTAAAATTGTTATACTGATATACTGTTTGTAAAACAGGAATAGAGCACAAATTGAACTGGCCAGTACATAGGTGATGATAGATCACTGATGATATATCGCTGATGGCAATGCAATGCACTTTATTGCTGGTCATAAAAAGGGCAACCTGGTGCATGTAGCTCCCGCTTGCGCAGGGTCCAGGGAAGGGTCGGACCACTTTAGGTCTATAGTACGCAGCCTTTCCCTACATTTCTGTAAGAGGCTGTTTCCAGGACTTGAACCCATGACCTCATGGTCACAAGGCAGCAGCTTTACCACTGCGCCAAGGCTCCCCTTCACTTTATTGCTGGTCATACACTCCTTTTTTTTCATTTGTTGGTTTGAGATGATTTTGATATCATTTGGTTCAAATATGTATCAAATTGTGGAGCGGCTGCCATGTGGTTGGTCTATTTTACCTCGTCTGTTGGAGCGGCTGCCCTATTTTATATCATTTGTTGGAGTTGGAGTTGGACGTTTTTGGTGATGTATATTTTACTCACACCACAATTTTGGGGATGTAAAATACATCGTTTATTGAAGTTGCACTGGAGTTTTTGTTCGAACTTTTTTTGAAGCCCAGACTCTCGGTTTTGCTAAAGCACATCTAGATATGCCCTAAGTATTGCACATCTAAGTCATATGCCATTGATTTTAGGTGGAGATTCGTGCATATATTTTCTTCTTCTTTTTCTTCTTCCTTTTTTAAGTCTCATTGAGTCACTTAGATGTACAATAACTAGGCCTCATCTAGACGTGCCCTAGACACATAACTTCTACTTCTTTTGAAGCCCTGGTCACGCTGGAGTTCTTGCTCGGTCTTCAGACACAGATCCTCATGTTTGTGTCCGGTTCATGAAGCAATACCAACTCTTATCAGAACTGCATCGCTATGGTACATTAAAGTTTATAAAATTAAGTTGCTCAAAAGTTACCATGAACAACTTCATGAAAATTAATCGTCCTTCTTATATTTTGGTTACATTTGAATCATGGATTGGCCTCATGTAAAGCAGTGAACTCACAAAGAATCCCCCTTCCCTCTTGCGTTGCCCCTGTGGGCGACCAAGAATCCCCCTTCCCTCTTCTGTTGCCCCTATGGGTGACCGAGAGCGAACCCTAGCCACGTTCTTCCACTCCCCTCCCTCGCCGTTGCTGACAGGCACTGACGAGCAAACCCCAGTCGGCGTGGCGACGGGGCTTCTCATGCACCTCTGCCCGGTGGGACCAGGGCGGTATGACGCCTTTGGGTGATGGCACTGGGCTATCGTGGGGCTCAACGGAGTGGCGGTGGGCTTACGGGGCGGCGGGGCGGGCGGGCGGCCGGCCGGCTGGTGACGATGCGGCGGCAGCTTGGGGCCTGTGCGTGCTGCCGCGGCTGTGTCGGGATCAGCTTAGGTGGAGGCGTGTGGGCGAGCGTTTGGCCAGATTTGGCGCCTGGGGGCTGGCTTGCAGTGCGGGGTGCTGTCGGGGCTCGACTGAGCTCTTGCCGGGGGCTGGCGGCGGTGACCTACGGGCCTTCCGGCAGGCGTGTGGAGGCGGGGATGTGGGCGTTGGGTGGAGCCCTTGGCTTCAGACGGTGGTGGTGGGGCGTGGCGCGAGGAGTCGATGTGGGGCGGGGTTGGCTTGGGCGTGGCTGCTTGGCGCCCGGAGTTGCCGGCTGCCATGAGCGACCCCCATCTGGATTTTTTATGCCTAGATCTGATGGGGAGGTGCCCACCTCTCCCAGGTGTGATGGCTGGCAGTGGGCCAGCGTCACGGAGTGCCCGCCAGTGTGGGAGTTTGACATGGTCCTCCAGCCTGGGGTTAGTTACTTCTAGCGAGTTCCTGCACTCGGTTGCCCTGGAGTCGGTTCATGGCTCTAGGCCGCCTCCGGTCACGCCAAGGCAGGAGCTTTGTGGGTTAGTTCACGGGCGTCTGCACATTATGGCGTCGGTGAAGGACCGTGGCAGTGATAGTCGGGATAACGTTAGCCGGCAGTCGGACCAGTGCTAAAGGTCACGGATTTGGCGTCGTGTGAGCTAATGGCTTGATGATCACCATCGGCAGCCACCGAGTCGTATCCCCCTCGGCCCATCGGGATTGGAGGGGATTGCATGTGTGGGCGACAAGATGCATGGTTGGCGTCGTGGTATGGATGCCGGGACGGTGGCCCTAGAAGCTGGTCCGCATGGTTGGCTCTCCGGCGGGCACCATGACGGCGGTGGTGTCTATTTCTCTTGGTCATGTGGGCGACAAGAGGCATAGCGGCAGGTGGCTTGGACGCACTCTTTGTCTCTAACAATGGCGGCACCCAGATCCGAATATGTAGTTCTGAACTCGTCGCGCTTCTCCCAAAGACCTCGTAGCGACACATGGGAGCTACCGGGCGAAAACCTTGCGCTTTGGCGGCTACGACAGTGACGCCCGCGGGTGCCACTCTCTTCTTGAAGACTTCGTTGTAGTGCTCCTCTCCGTGTCTATGTTATTGATGAAGATCTTTGTTCATTGTGGACTCGGCAGCGGCAACACTCTGCGTCATTTCCCTCCTAAGGACGTTGTCGTGGAGCTTAGGTGTATTAAGGCGTAATGTGGTGTTGTTCTTAAATCTTCCTATGTTTTCTTTCGATAGTATAGTCGCTTAGCGGTTTACCGTGATCCGTTTATCATGGGATCAGTTTTGCAAGAGGGTCACCCACAACCTTGTATCGGGTCGTGTACTTTATTTGGTTGTTGCTTTATATATGAAGCCAGATGAAAGTCTTTTTTCGAGACATTGGAATCATAAACTGATCTGTTTAGGTTTCAGTCGACCGAGACTTCGCGAAGACTTAGTCGGCCGATGTCACATTAGGCAGATTAGGCCTGTTTGTTGGCTCGATCTGGGTTTTATTCTTAGCTGGGCTTTTTTTTTGTTTCTCTGTTGTTTGTTTGTTTATGTGGGCTGGGCTGATTGTTTTTCTTTGTCATTGTTTTTCTTGACACAGGAAAAAAGTGTTCAACAAGAAAAGTAAATAAAAACATTTTTCCGTCATTAGTGTAGCTCATCTTTCAGTCCTCTTCGTGCGTCATCTTGCTTCTCTTTTTTATTTTTCATTTCTTTCAAAAAACATTTTGCATATTT